CCACTGCTCCTCACTCCTGTGCTTGGATCCTTGTTTTCGTCCACTACCTCCTCCTGCCTGCCCAAGGGCTGCCCTTATCATTTCTTGGAGAGCAGTTTTGCTAGCAAAGAATTCCTCTGTCTTTATATGTTTGAAAATCTTACTTTGATTGTCTTTTAAAGATATTTCCACTGAGCATAGAATTCCAAGCTGATTTTTTTTTAAATTATTATTCTCTTAGTTCTTAAAGGATCACTGCTGTCTTCCAGGTGCATAGTGTTGGGTGAACCTCCTTTGCCTCCCACCCCCAGTGGCTGTTCAGGTGTTGCTTCCTGATCACTGGTTTGAGCCCTTTGACTGTTCCATGCCTTGGGTCTGCCATCCTTGTGTCTCTCGAGCTGGGCTCCTTTCCTGGATCTGGGCTTGTGGTTGCCAGGCTTGGACCTGCATGTAGTTTTCTGCACCGCCTCTCTCCTGTCCTCTGGGATGAGTTGCAGGTCCTTCATGCCTTGTGAAGTTGTCCGCAGCTCTGCTTCTGTTCGGAAAGGCTCTCCTCCCTCTGTATTGTGCTGCAGATCATCTTTTGCTGTTCATAGACCTTCCTTTTGCCAGCTGGTTTACCATGAGTGCCATCCAGTGTCATTTCACCTTAGACATTGTAGCTTCCACCTCTAGAAATGTGATTGGGTTTTTCTATGTCTTTCATGTCTGTCCTTAACTGTTCTGTTTTCCACCAGTTTAAATTGCTGCTTTGGTGTCCTTGTTGGCCAGTCATGATGTGTGTCATTTGTGTAGCTTTAGCTGATTGATTACTATCCTGCTTGCAGCTTGTGTTTCTTGCTGCTTCTATGCCTGGTCATCTCTGCTTGGATGGTGGGTGTTGTGAGTTTCAGCTTATTGGTTCTGGTTAATTTTGTTGTATTCCTATATCTTCTTGATCTATTTTTAGAGGTGCAGGTAGGTTTCTTAGAGTTTTGATTCATCTTTGTGATTTGCCAGGCATCCTGGAGCAGGTCTCAGACTAGAATAATTGCCACACTATGCACCAAGGCCTTCCTAAATTCTAAGGGTCTGTGGGGACAGCACTGCTGGTACTATTGCCTGTCCTGTCCATAGTTTTGTCACTATGAGCTTCAAAAGACTTCCTGGTTTTTAAGCCAGGTGGGTGTTTTCTATTTAAAAAAAAATAACAGTGAAGACAAACCAGACAGTTCTAGGTGGAGCCCAACCTGCCTTGTTCCTGTCTCCCACCTGGTCCTCATTTTGCCCTCTGGACCGAGGTCACTACAGAACCTGCTTTGTTTGTCATCTTGATTCTTCCCAGTCCTCAGCTCCCTCCACACCCCCACATTAGGAATATGTCCTTGACTTTTCACCCACTTTCTAGAGGCCATGCTCCCATGTCTCAGTGTCCTCTCCACTATGCGCTCCTGCCTTCAGGAGTAGAACTAGGGACATAGGACACACTGGACTCCCACAAGTTTTTGCGTCCTTCTAGCCACATGATGGTCAGCAGCCCCAACTTGGGCAGGTGCTGTCCAGGACCTTGCCCATGCCTGGGTGATTGTGCATGCTTCTTGCATCCTCCCTGGCAGCCTGGGGTCTCATGTGTGAATTTGGAACTGAAAAATTACAGCTGAGCCTCCTAACTTGCAGCTTGCTGTTGCTCCATGGGCTGTAGTGGCTTCCTTGTCTCACAAGTCTTGCCGTCTTTGCAGGTTGAAGGTGGAGGAGCTGGAGGGGGAGCGGAGTCGCCTGGAGCAAGAGAAGAAGATGCTGGAGCTTCAGCTGGAGAGGTGCACCCTGCAGGTAGGCACAGGGCAGCCACGGGACACATGCTGTACCAAACCGGAAACTTCCTCCTGCACACCCTTCTTTACCTGGCTGGAAGTCCCAGGGTCCTACAGAGTGACAGTCTCCTCATCTGGGGTCTTCCTTGTGCCTTCTTTTCCTGTTCCTCTGCACTCACCACAGCACCTGGAGCCTCAGTATCTGGTGTGGGGAGGGCCCATGGGTCAGAGTCAAGGGAGGCTTCTCTGTGTGTTTTTAGGTTGGTACCTACACCCACACCCATAACTTGTGGTTGTGACGTTGGGCTGCCATCTATTCTGTTTCAGTTGACTGACTTTTTAGTTTTCATCCTCCAGACTTAAATTATTCCATGGAGGAAACCCGCAGGTTTGAGATTGCCCAGTTTTTAGACAGGCCGTTGATTTTATCTTGGCACCTATTAGAGGCAATCAAATCTCCTTTCTGTTACCAATTCCTGGTGATGGGAGAGGTGACAACTTTGATGAAGTGAGGCACTCCGAGCTGCAGCTGGACTGTGTGCCTGGCCCTAGGACCTGTCATCTTCTGTTCTAATTGGGCCACGGTCCTCAACTGGGGCTACTAGCGGGTCGATCCCTGACTGCCTGGCCATGTTGCTGTGTCAGGTTGGATTTTCAGATGTCTTTCTGTGGAGCTAGTTGAACAGAACTTGAGCTTTCACGGCTCAATGACTCCCCAGCCCTCCTGCATGTTAGGCCACTGTGTGTCCCCACCAGAACTGTTCATTCCCCTTTTTCTGCAACTGGGCTTCCAGGCTTTCCCACAAGGGATCCTCCAGTGGGCTTGGAGAGGTTGTTGAGGAGTAAATGAGACAAGGTACAGGGGAACGCTGTGCCTGGCACCACCACCTCTAAGTGGGAATGCTCTGGACGGGGTCACCTTGAGTGTCCCTGATAGGAGTTACAGGGCAGCACATCTAGTGGTCAGTGCCGGCTACCCTATGCACCTATGTGGGTTGGCATGAAACTGTAGTTAGCCAGGCCTTCTGTGATTATAGAGCTCCATGTGGGCCCTTATTGGGGTGAGCCTCTTGCTGTGAGATGCTGCTCAGAGCTGATGGCTGGGCACCAGCCTGGTAGACCATGGCCCTGTTAGCTCATGTCCACACCTGCTTTCTGAGCCCAGGCCTCCTTGCTTCCACAGTACAGTGGAGTGGGGAACCATCATGCAGACAGGCGCTGGGTGTGCGTGTGAGTAATACCCAAAGCATGGCCAGAAGGGTTAGTAGAAGACTGGGCCTGGTGTCCTGAAGAACAGGGTTCATACCATGGCATGATGACCAAGAGCCAAGCCTGGGACTACAGGGATGACTGTCTAGGTGAACAGGGAGGAAATAAGCTCAGAGGCATGGAGGGGGACTGTGGGATTGGCTCTCGCCATGGAAGAAGCTTCTAGACAGCCCTGCAGCCACTGTCAGCTGTGATTATGCTACTGGAAGCAGATTTTTTAGAGGCAAGCTTGGGGAGGAAGCCACATGGGTCCCGTGGTGTCTTGAGCTTCTCTGGAATAGACTCTTGGCTGCCTGGGCTTCTTCTGGCTGCTTGGAGCCACGCTGCTTGCCATACTGCAGCCCTGCTGTCCTCTTGACCACAGGCCACAGCAACAGACCCCCAACTCCATGTTCCAGTATTAAGCCACCCCCACCTCCAACAGCACTAGAGCTCAGCTGGACTCCAGTGGCACCCAGGGCCACACCTACCCTACACATGGGTGCCGTTCAGGAGGATTGGGTGATGGTCCAAATCCCCAGACCACAGTGGTCATCCCTTTGGTGACCACATGCGTCTGCCTTGCACCATACCTACTGTACCTTCCCTGGGGTGAAGTAGTGTGGCCCTGTGTCCCTGGTGAGGAGATGTCTGCTCAGAAGTTGAGCTCTTCTGTCAAGGGTGCCTGGGCAGAGGAGTATGGCTGGGGGTGAGCTGGGCCCTGTCTTCCTCCCTCTTTGTGCTTCTAGCCTGCCCCTGTGCCTCTCTCACTCTGTGCTCCTAGCCTGCCCCTTTGCCTCTCTCACTCCCCTCTCAGAAGTGCATGAGAACTTCTTGGGAAGGGAAGGCTACATCTGGCTGTGGCCCAAGTGGCCCTATTCTGTTGTGCCAGGTCACCAGCGGCAGCATGAAGACCCCATGCTGGCTGCAGGTGGTGGCCCCAGCTGCACCTGTGCCAGGGTGGTGAAAGGCATCTATCCAGGGCTGAGCTGGTCCTGCTATTGTCACCATAGTAAGAGAAGTTCCTGTCAATCCCCCATGCCAAAGCATTTTCCATCCACTTGGTAAGAAGGAGCAGTGACAGAAGCCTGACATGGGGACTGGTTTTGCAAAAGGGGAGCAGGAACACGTCTGGCTCAGGAGTGGCCCAGGCGGAGTGAGTGGATCAGAAGGTGATTAATACATGGAGAAAGAGAAAGGTCACTGGCTCAGGGGGTGGTCTATGCTGGACATGCCAGACTCTCTGAATCCCAATACCTCCTTTATGAGTTAGGGGTGATGATATCCACATGTTGGGGACATCACATGCCAGGGGTCTACCACAACTCTTGGCTTGGATTTGGTATTCCAAACATGCTCATATGCATCTCCTTCTGTCCTTTCCATCCTTGAGGGCGAAGGTTAGCATCCATCCCACCTAGGAGCATTGCTGACGTGCTTATTCGCAGTACACCTCCTACTCTCTGCTCCCTCTGGAGGAGGAGAACCTCTCCAGGTCGGGGCGCATAGAAAATTGATTGGAATCAGCTGCAGCCTGGCTTAATTGGGAACATATGCTTGGAGAGGGAGCCCAACTAGTTGGAACTTTTCATAATTAGTTTGCAGCTGGTTGGTGAGGAAGCAAACCTCCAGTTACCTCTTAGAGCTGGGTTTGTGGGTGCACTCTTGTGCTCAGGGAAGATTGGTCATTGCATTGGCCTGTGTGGGGACTGGCTGTGATGATGCCGTCCTCTCTGAGGGTCATTGGTTATGTGCACACTGGCCAGGGGTGATGTGCTACATTGCTAATGTAGCTACAGGTGGGCAGGGTACCAGGGCCTATCTGCACAGGAGCGCCTCCAACCAGAGATCAGGTGGACGCAAGTTTAGGCTGTTGCTGCCAAGGTTGTGAAGAGGCCCAATTTGGAAATGGAGGCCTAGGCCTAGGTAGTTGGCATGTGAAGGATGAACTCAGACCTACCATTTCCTACAGTAGATGGTGGAACTGTGACAGTGTTCTCAAATGAGGATAAGAATTTGGCACACCTGGTGGACCTCCAGATCTATGGTCCCCAGACCATTTCTAGGGCTGTTGGTGCAGCCACAGCAGCAGGGCATGCAGGAGACCTAGTCCTGTCCCTGAGGCCTGCAGCCTAGGGCATTCTGCCCACCCAGAGGTGCTAGTTCTCCTCTCCTGGAGTCTCTGAGTCAGTGGTCTCCTGTTCCCTACCCTAGGCACTGGCCTGGGACCAAGAACCTAGCAGCAGGGACCTCTGAGTCCTTTTTTCCTACCTTTTATCCTAATAGACCCCATCCAGTGTCCCTCTTCATGGTAGGTGGGCCCTGGCCCTTGAAGACTTAGCCTCCAACATCTGGGGTTGTATCAGCACTCTCCCCAGGATGTGGGCCTCCCTTGTAGGCTCTCTTGGGAGCATGCAGCTCCTAGAGGGCCCAGCATGTCCCTGATAAGCCAAGTCAATGCTGTAGCTGTTATGGTTATTCATGCTAATATCACGGGCCTCACTGTCTCATGTTGATAAGGTACATGGTTTTCCATGTGGTTCTGGTGGGCTAGAACCAGGTCGAGTGCTCTGATCACCTGGAGCACAGAGGAGCTTGCCCATGCGTTGGCTTGCCTGTGCTGGACACTGACTTCCCAGCAGGACAGGCTGTTTCCACTCAGCAACAGCAAGTTTCCATGAGGACATGCAGCACAGATCAAGCCCTGGTGCTCTGTGGGTGCCCCCTTTAGTCAGTGTCACCCATTAGTAATGGGGCCAACATTTAAACCCAGTCCTCCTGGATATCCCCCAGCATTTTATTATGAGCATTTTTAAGCACACAGAGAAGTCAGAAGAATGTTACAGTGAATGCCTGCTTACCCACCACCTACATCCTGCCAGGAATGCTGCTCTACAACATCTCTACCCATCCCTCCACATCCATCAGTCCGTTTTATTCTTTTGATGCATTTTAAAGTAAATTGCAGACATCTGTACACTTTTCTCTAAATACTCCAGCATGCATGTAATTAAGCAGAATTCATCTCTGAGGTTCTGAAGCCTATGCCCCCGCCATCCCTCGGTATCATCTAATCAGGGTGCTTTACCAGGAAAGTTGGTGGTCGAGGCTGATGGACCCCTCCCCTGAGACTTCCCCTGCTCTCCAGAGTGAGGCTGCCCTCCGCAGGTACCTCCAGGCCTGGCCTGGCCTACTCCTCCCTCTGGCTGGGTGAGGCTGCTATGCAGCCTGCCTGAAGTGCTGCTCAGGAAGGAGCCCAGACGAGCTGCCCAGTGACATTTAAAATAAGTGTATCTTTTTTGGAAATGGAGTGGGTAGAAAATTGCTGGTTTCCCTCTGAGCAGAAAGCTTCCAGTGCCTAGAGACCTCCCCGCTCCTGTCTGCGTCACAGGAAGTAGCACCAGGCTCCCGGTCTCACCTCCTTCTTATCCCCAAGCCTGCCCCCTATTGATGCCCTGACAGCCTGAGTGCCTTCCCTGCAGTGCCCAGGAGCTGCCCACCCTGGGCCCTCCTGGAGCCTGCTGGTTCCTCTCACCACTGGCTGCTGCCCCAGGGGCAACCCATTTGCCCTGGATCTGTGCCACTCCCCTGGCCTGCCTGCCAAGCCTCTCTGCACACTTCAAAAGCAGCTTCAGCCCCACCTGTCCAGACCCTAAGGCAGAATGGGCTCTTCTCAGGAGCTCTTATACCTTTGGTTCTGCTGTTGATCCCAAGCTCTTTGCCAGGACAGTTGATTTCTTGGCAGCCCACTGCAATACTTGTGGAATGTTC